TAAATGTGGAAAATACTGATATATTTCCGGAAATTACGGTAAGTTTATAGGTAAATAATGCCCCTACAGTATAACACAACCCAGGGCAACATGGGTTAAGCACAGGTCGCTCCTGTCTGTCACACTCTTGAATACTACGACAGGTCCTAAAACGCACTAGAAGACAAAAAAGAATGCTGATGTAATATATACAGACTTTGTAAAAAAGCCTTCGACAAGTGTGACCTTGGCGTATAGCGCAACAAAAATGCGTGCTAAAGGGATAACAGGAAAAGTCGGGGTCGATGGATCTACAATTCCTCACTAACAGAACACAGAGAGTAGTCCCGTCAACAAGTAAAGTCCGAGGCAGCTACGGTGAATAAGCTCTGTTTTCCACAAGGCACAGTTCTCGCTCCCATCTTGTCCCATCTCATATCCGACATAGACAAGGATGTCAGCCACAGCACCATGTCTTCCTTGCAGATGACACCCGAATCAGCATGACATGTCTTCCCATTGCAGACACTGTCAAGCTCCAGGCGGACATCAACCCAAATCTTTTCAGTGGGCTGCAGAAAGCAATATGAAGTCAACGATGAGAAATTTCCAATTACTAGATATTGTAAACATGAGAAATTAAATCTTTCATCAGATGTACAAAACAAATTCTGGCCACGAAATAGAGCAAACACAACGTCCAAAGACCTGGAGTGATAATATGTCCGGAGGCTCTCACCTTCAAGGACCATAACATTGTTCAATCGCGATCTGCTAGAAAATGACAAGGATGGGATAATGAGAAACCTTCAAAACTAGGGCGGCCAAGTCCCATGATGAACACTCTTCAGGTCACTTGATTCTTATCAAGGCAGGAATATTGCTGCACTCTAACAGTACCTTTCAAGGCAGGTTGAAAATTGCCGACCTATAAAATGTACAGAGACTTTCACGTCGCGCATAACGAGATAAAACACCTCAATTACTGGAGCGCTGAGGTTTCTAAACCTGTATTCCCTGGACGCAGGAGGGGAGAGATACATGATTATATACACCTGGAAAATCCTAGAGGGCTAGTACCGAACTTGCACACGAAAATCACTCACTACGAAAGCCAAAAGACTTGGCAGACGATTGCCAACCATCCCCCCAATGAAAAGCAGGGGGGTCACTAGCACGTTAAGAGACCATCACAATAAGTGTCAGGGGCCGAGACTGTTCAACGCCCCCAGCACACATAAGGGGGATTACAACAGACCCCTGGCAGTCTTCAAGCTGGCACTGACAAGCACCTAAAGTCTGTTCCTATCAGCCGGGCTGTGCTCGTACTTGGTTGCGTGCAGCCAGCAGCAACAGCCAGGTTGATCAGGCCAGATCCACCAGGAGGCCTGTCACAGACCGGCCGCGGGGGCGTTGACCCCGGAACTCTCTCCAGTAAACTCCAGTAATATGTATTTTTTAAAAGAAGTATGTTATCAAAATGGGAAACTGAGTCTGCCTGCGCAGAAGGACATCCCATTGTTTGTTTAATTGGAGTAACAGACATTGTGTAATGGGAAGAATTATCGTGCTCTTAGAGGTTAAAATTGGGCCTGACACCTCTCAAATAGGAGGCGAAATTATTGGATGTGCATTCCTGCTAACATGAGATATCAGGCGACAGGACAGGACAACTCCAGGAAACCTCATATAAGCTGTCTAATATATGTTTAAATTCTGGCTACAGTAAATTTTTCATAAATTAGGCAAAAAGGGGGGGGGTCCCGTACATGACACATTAATCCCAGTCAAAAATGGTGAGTGATTTTAAGATATTCCCTTATAAATTAGACACATTGGCACTCTTGGTAACTTTATTGAGGAAACGTTTATCGCCACACAGTGGCTTCATCAGTCCATACGTAGGAGAAACTTGAAGAAACAGAAGGAGAATGAGGTAACAGTCCCTCACCTTGAGTCGATGTGTTTCAGTCCATCAATCTTGTAGTAGAATACGCATATGAGCGAGAAGCACTTATATAGATCCATCGACCGACTTTTCCTGTTTATTCCAATAGCACGCATTTGTGCCATTACGCCATGGTCACACTTGTCAAGCTTTTACAAAGTCGTAAATATCATACATCTGCATTCTTTTTACTTCTATGCATTATAAGGACCTTGTCGTATGTGACCAATAGTTGAGACAAGACAGGAGCGACCTTGTTCTAAAACCCCGATGTTGCCCTGGTTGGTAAACAGATGTGGTTTTCTAGATGGTGGTGATCTTGCTCTTAGGGACCCTTCCAAAGATTATATGATATGGGATTTAGTGCTATCGTCTGTAGTTCTTTGCTGTTGCTTTTACTGCCCCCTTTGTGAGTGGGGCTATTCTGTTGTTTTTAGAACTGTGGACGACCCCGTGTCCATGCTCCCTCTCCATAGGATGAAAAAGGCTCGTGATAGGGGCTCTTGCATTCTTGATTAACACAGAGTTCCATGAGTCTGGCCCCTGGGGCAGAGTGCATGTGGCATTTCCATTTACGCCTGTTCGAAGTCCATTTGGCGTCAGGAAACATCGGATAGGCTTAGTTTAAACAAATTTTGTGGCTCTCATAAAAAGAATAATTTGATCTTCGACACTCAGTCTGGTTAGACACGGCCTTGCTAAAACTGATTTCATATTGGACTTGAGTAGCTCACTCATTTCCTTGCTGTCATCTGTGTACGACCCATCTTTTTTAAGTAGGGGCCCAATACTCGACGATGTTTCTCGACTTTGATTTGGCCAAGGAGAAGAAATACTTTGGGTTTCTTTCGATTTTTTTTATGGGCTTTTAGGTTTCTTCCCGCGATTCTGACTCCTATAAGATTCCTTTAGCTTGAGTTCGAGCTTGCCATTGTCTCTTGACCAGTTGTCTCCCTACGCATTTCAGATATATTGACCTCTTTTTAGCCGCCTGTTATTCTTTTCCGTCGCCTGAAAAAGGAGTGCCTGTCTCTTTCTATTTACATCTACACCTCCTATTTCTTAGAGGAATAACCTTGTGCAACCATCGAAGTGCCACCAAGTTTAATAGCTGTTCTAGCATACGTTAGGGGGTCTGTGTTGCCTTATGTAATCTCCCAGCTGTATATCGGTTAGGACTTGGTTTACTTGTCCCACTTTATGTTTTTTGTATTGAAGTTGAATTTGGTGAATGCACCCTCGTGACTAATCTCATTAGCGGTCTGGGCTACCACGCATACATATGTCTGAACCTCATATGTTGTGATCTTGAGTATATAGTTTTTGATATGGTGGACATTTCTTAATGAGATATCATTGTTAGGTGAAGATGAGGTCTTGTGTATCTCCAGTCTAGTATGGCTCTATTATTTGCTGTTTAAATGAATTTTGTGCAGAGAATTTTAATAAGCTCGTGTAGTTGAAGTTTTTCATCAGAGCTTCCTCACTGTGTTATTACTGCAACAATATTATTTTGCTATATTACTCCATTTTAGGTGCCTTAAGTAGAAATCCCCCAGGAAAAAAGCAAAGGAAAAATGTGGATGCAGGAGCTGGAGAGATTTTACCAGACAGTGGGTAAATTTTTAACAGCGTTTCCTGGAATTGCTGGGATGTATCATCCGGAGCTTGTAGACTACCACAATGAACTAGGTTTTGGTCTCCGACAGTTTCTTTACTGCTAACACTTCCACTACATCAATTGAGGCATTTTAGCAGTTTCTGTGGCAAACAAGTGAAACTGCAAATGTACAGGCCAACCTTCCCCCCCCCTCTTTTGCCTGTCACCTGTCCACATTGTATAGGTGTAACCTGGGACGTGCCATATTTCGTTGTCATGTTTACTCTGTGACAAAAAATTAATGAATTCAGAGACAACACACTCAGAAATGTTTAAGAAATGTCAAAGTATTTTATCCACAGTGGTATATTACAAACCATTCTGGACAAATACTCTGACTTTGCTGACTGTAAGGCTAATATTTGCATTAATAACTCATTGCAATTGTGATCAGGTGTAGACGTGTGAATGGTTCATTACCTTTGTAATTTTCAGCTATCAAACTTTGGGTCCAGTCCCTGGACCTATTATGTACCTCTGTAACTTTTTTGGCTACCGCCCACACCATGGGTAAGTAAGTTTATTCAGGTATACACAAATACAGTTACATAGATTATCATACATAGCAGTATGTGTAGAGCACCTACGATAACCCAATAAAGTCAGAAAGTGACCTACTTCCATTGGGTTCCTTTATTTCCATTGGGGTTCTTTATTTCCATTGGGGTTCTTTATTTTCATTGGGGTTCTTTATTTCCATTGGGGTTCTTTATTTCCATTGGGTCCTTTATTTCCATTGGGGTTCTTTATTTCTAATGGGGTTAATTATTTCCATTGGGGTTCTTTATTTCCATTGGGGTTCTATATTTCCATTGAGGTTTTATTTCCATTGGAGTTCTTTATTTCCATTGGGGTTCTTTATTTCCAATGGGGTTCTTTATTTCCATTGGGGTTCTTTATTTCCATTGGGTCCTTTATTTCCATTGGGGTTCTTTATTTCTAATGGGGTTCATTTTTTCCATTGGGGTTCTTTATTTCTATTGGGGTTCATTATTTCCATTGGGTTCTTTATTTCTAATGGGGTTCATTATTTCCATTGGGGTTCTTTATTTCTATTGGGGTTCTTTATTTCCATTGGGGTTCTTTATTTCCATTGGGGTTCTTTATTTCCATTGGGGTTCTTTATTTCCATTGAGGTTCTTTATTTCCATTGGGGTTCTTTATTTCCATTGGGGTTCTTTATTTCCATTGAGGTTCTTTATTTCCATTGGGTCCTTTATTTCCATTGGGGTTCTTTATTTCCATTGGGTCCTTTATTTCCATTGGATCCTTTATTTCCATTGGGTCCTTTATTTCCATTGGTCCTTTATTTACATTGGGTCCTTTATTTCCATTGGTCCTTTATTTACATTGGGTCCTTTATTTACATTGGAGTGCCCAATAAAGACATTAAACAAAGTGTAGAGTTGTGAACCCTGGGAGTCGAAGTTTCACTCACACAGTAAACAAACACTATGGCGAACTGCTGGTCAATTGGTATCTTCCTAATTATTTTCCTTGGCACGTTTTGTATATGGAACTGCATGACCCGGAATGACCCGCCAGACACATCTAATTGGTACGGCTGCAGAGACCAGAAAGGAAACCCTGTGGACTCGTGAGTAAAATACTGAGTATCTTGTGAGTCTTAGAGTTACAGGTTCCCCCTCAAGGGAGGCTTCCTTGATGCTGGTCAGGGGCTCTTGATCTGGGGAGTTGGATCTGTGCTCCAGTTCCCTGGATTCATTCCATCCCCCCCATCCCTACAGGAGCTGTATAATCCCTACGGGTTTAGCGCTCCCCATGATTGAGTCACTGGTTAGTGAGTCAGGCACCTCGGGGGAGGCTTCCTTGATGCTGGTGAGGGGCTCGTGATCGAGGGAAATGGATCTGTGCTCCAGTTCCCTGTATTGAGCCTGAATAACTTCCATATACACCCAGGCGCTGTATGATCCCCACGGGTTTAGCACTCCCCCATAATAACAGAGTCATGGGTTAGTGAGTCATTGCCCCTCAAGGGAGGCTTCTCTAGTAAATTTATTCAGACACAGGTACACATAAGTACAGTTATCATATATGGTGTAAATTATTTAGGATAACCCCCTCCAAAAAAAAAAAATAGTGACTTATTTCCGTTGGGGTCCTTGATGCTTGGCCCGAGTATGGGTACTTGTAGAAATAAAGATTATTACAATTATCATTATTATTCTTTTATTATTTTATTTTATAATTATTATAAGGAAGTGGATTTGTCCTCTGCTACCTTGGATTGAACGTAATGGATTCCTGTATGCTATATGATCCGTCCTTAAATGTAATAAATTAATTAATTTACACTGTATGATAATTGTAGTTGCCTAAATTTGTGTAACTTATGTGTACCTGTGCCTAAATAAACTTATTATAATCTTAACTGAAATATTTATCCAACCTGTTTTCATTTTTTTCCATAGTTCTTGAGACCCATGATGCTTAAGTCCTCAAATCCAACCCTTTTAACTTGTGTATTTGTCTAGCCTATTTTTGAAGCTACTTAATGATTTAGCTTCTATGAGCCTACTTGGCAGATTGTTCTCTTCTCTACAATTCTCTCTGAGAAACAAAACTTTCCTACTTGCTCTCTAAATCTAAACTTATCCAACTTTTATTTATTATTTTGATTTTTTTCTGGTTGGATATCCTAAATACCCTACTTCTGTCTCCATTATTTATACCTATCTTCCATTGGGGACAATTGATAATAATCTAATGGTTATAATCATAACATAATTTTTAAAAGAGGTGAACTGGTAAGCCAGCAGAAGGCCTCGGTCAGATGACCAAAAGCTTCAGCTGTGGGTCATCGTATGACTAAGACCCATGTCAGGAAATGTGTGTCCTGTTTCCTGACAAACTTACCTAACCTGAATGTAGATAAGTGGTTTAGAGAACCAAGAAGTTATCAACTTGCCTTACCTCTCCCATTTATACATTTCAGTGATGTCTTCCTTCATTCCCTTATAAGAGAATGAAGGTTCAGGGCTCTAAGTCTATCTTCATATGAAACTTTTCTTAAACAGTGAATCAATCTTGTCATCCTTCTCTGTATGTTCTCTAATGCATTTATATCCATACTTTAGTATTTAGATCAATACTGAATTACATAATCTGAGTTTGGCCATACTAATGAATTTTCAAGCTGTAGCAATACCTCAGGACTCTTATTACTTATACGTGTACTGTACTTCTTGTATGTATCAAAGATATATATTAAGCCTTATTAAGAACACTTAGGCCCTGCTGTCTTGGCTTTAGATTGTTGCTTACTATAACTCCCAAGTCCTTTTCACATTCTGTGTGGTCAAGTTCTATGTTTTTTTTAGTGTGAGTTCTAGAGTTATGTATTTATATTCCCAAGCATTAGGACTTTGCATTTATCTAGGGTACATTGAACTGTCTCTACCATTTTTCAGACCATGACTTTAGCTTATCTAAATCTTGAAGTTGAATGGTATATTCCTTTGAATCTATTATACGGTCTATTTTGTGTTATTGACAGATTTACTCATGTCATTTGTTATTCTCTCATCAAGGATCAAGGTCTTTAATGTAAATTATGAACAACAATGGGCTTAAACTGACCCTTGTGGAATAATGTTATCTTGTCTGTTAGTGGTTCTGAGAATTATCTTCCCAGTGGCCCCTATCTTAGACCAGATTTCTTAGGTTGGAAAGAAAATATATTACAGGATTAAAAAAACATTTAGGAAAGAAAGGTATAGAATCTGTTTCTGTTTGGGCAACTAGTTACAGGTTGCATTATGTCAATTCTTTCATGAGCCTATAAACAGGTAACTTTATGCATTCCAGGCCAATGGCAATTATATTAAGCTCAGTCTGTCCATTGACCATTGTCAACTCGCTTGGCAATGTTCCAAGACAGATCTAAATATTGTCACAAGTTTTCTCTCCTAAGAGCAGTTTATTTGTGACTCGTTCCAGCCACAGTATTGTGACTGTTATTCTTCAGGCTTTCAATATATTTTAGGAAAATTACTGTTTGCATTCAGTGAATGTACAGTATATGCATCTCACATGCACAATTACCCGAAATGTATTGCACGCTAATGGCGTTCTTTGGGGCTTAACGATATTTCATTACATGTAAACTACATTATCTGTATACTGCAGAAAAAAATAAATTACAGTGGTACCTCGAGTTTCGGTCATAATTCATTCCAGAAGGCTGTTCGAGTGGCGTTACCAAATGAATTTGTTCCCATAAGGAATAATGTACAGTGGAACCTCAAAAATCGAACGTATCACATATCAAACGTTTCGAAAATACGTAAGACCATTTTTTTGGACAAACTGTGTCCCTATTATCGAACGCACCCCTATATTTGGACCGCCGGGTACGGGACCTGTCTGCTGGCCCTCTCTGTCCGCGTCCCCTCGCAGGCGCCGTGAGCAGTCTAGCTTTGTTTATGCTTGAGTGAACACTAACCTGCGATCTCATTCACACATTTTACGATTATTTAATTGTGTTTAGTGCTTGTGGGGCTGTGAAATAAGCTGCCATGGGCCCAAAGAAACTTGCTAGCAGTACCCCTGTGGCAAAGAAAGTGAGAAACACCATAGATGTGAAGAAGGAAATAATACAGAAGTATGAGATTGGAGTGAGACTTGTTGAGCTTGCCAGGATGTACAGAGGACTGTGGACAGTTATTTTGTGAGACAGAAACAGACGACTGTGGACAGTTATTTTGTGAGACAGAAGCAGATGACTGTGGACATTTATTTTGTGAGACAGAAACAGACGACTGTGGACAATTATTTTGTGAGACAGAAACGCACGACTGTGAAGTTATTTTGTGAGACAAACAGACGATTGTGGACAGTTATTTTGTGAGACAGAAACAGATGACTGTGGAGTTATTTTGTGAGACAGAAACAGACGACTGTGGAGTTATTTTGTGAGACAGAAACAGACGACTGTGGAGTTATTTTGTGAGACAGAAACAGACAACTGTGGAGTTATTTTGTGAGACGCAGACGATTGTGGACAGTTATTTTGTGAGACAGAAACAGACGACTGTGGACAGTTATTTTGTGAGACAGAAACAGTCAACTGTGGAGTTATTTTGTGAGACAAACAGACGATTGTGGACAGTTATTTTGTGAGACAAACAGACGACTGTGGATAGCTATTTTGTGAGACAGAAACAGAGGACTGTAGACAGTTATTTTGTGAGACTGGGGTCCAATGACTCTCAAGCTGGTCCTAGTGGCATTAAAATACAGAGAAGGGAAGCAACCCCAGAGAGGGCTTTGATACCGGAAGTCCTTATGGAGGGGGATTCTCCTTCCAAACAATAACCCCAACTCCCTCTCTCCTCCTCCCTATCTTCCAGATGCCATCACCAATCTTCAATAAAGGTAAGTAAAAATATTATTTTATATTACTATACATAATTAAAGACTATAGCATTTCTTGTGTGTATGTAAAACTGTAATTAATCTTTATAAAATGTATTTTTTTTTGTGAATATTTTTGGGTTTCTGGAACGGATTAATTGCATTTCCATTATTTCTTATGGGAAATATTGCTTCGAATTTCAGACTTTTGGAATTTAGAACTAGCTCCTGGAAAGGATTAAGTTCAAAGTTTGAGGTTCCACTGTAAATTAGATTAGTCCGTTTCAGACCCCCAAAAATACACTTACAAAAGCACTTACAAACTACACTTACATAATTGTTCGAGTTGGGAGCTGTTCGAAACTCAAGGTACCACTGTATATTTGTAATAAAATTGGAACATCACATACTAACAAATTTGCTTAAAGCAAGGGGACGGGGAAGCCTATACAGCGGACCCTCGACCAACGATGGCATCGTATAACATAAAATCCGACTAGCGATACATTTTAACGCAAAAATTTTGCCTCGACTAGTGCTAAAAAACTCGACCAACGCAATATGTTCCGTTCGAGACACATCCACGTGTGGCCTGAGCGCACCTCACTTGTCCCGTGGGTGTCAGTGTTTACAAGCCAGCCACCGCGGTCGCATCCAAACATACAATCGGAACATTTCATATTATTACAGCGTTTTTAGTGATTGCACCTGCAAAATAAGTCACCATGGGCCCCAAGAAAGCTTCTAGTGCCAACCCTGTGATAAAAAGGGTGAGAATTAGTATGGAAATTAAGAAACATTTTGAAGGGTTTAGGGCTAACCCTGAGATGCCTATGCCAGTTGTGGAATCCATTGTGCCTACTTCAAAGATTAAGGAAATGTGTGCAAAGTGGGTTGAACTGCAAACCTTTATGGATGAAAATCACCCTAACACAGCTATTGCAAGCCGTGCTGGTGACTATTACAATGACAGTGTTATGGCCCATTTTAGACAAATCTTAAAGGACAGAGCTCTATGGACAGATACGTTGTGCGACAGAGGTCCAGTGACTCTCAAGCTGGTCCTAGTGGCATTAAAAGAAGGGAAGTAACCCCAGAAAAGGACTTGACACCTCAAGTCCTAATGGAAGGGGATTCCCCTTCTAAACACTAACACCATCCACACACTCCCCTCCTCCCATCCCATCAATCATCACCAGATCTTCAATAAAGGTAAATGTCATGTAATTGTACATGTCTTCTTCAGTTTGTGTGTATTAAAATTAATATTTCATGTGGTAAAAATTTTTTTTTTCAATACTTTGGGGTGTCAGGAACGGATTAATTTGATTTCCATTATTTCTTATGGGGAAAATTAACTCGACTAACAATAATTTTGACTAACGATGAGCTCTCAGGAACAGATTAATATTGTTGGTTGAGGGTCCACTGTACTGTATATTGATATCTTTCCGAAATACTTAGTCTTGTTAATAATGTGTATTAAAGTGGCTTTTTTTTCCAGATTTGTGGTGTACAAATTACCTCGTAATAAACAAGCAGATTTTCAGCCATTGAAGAATGGAACTGCATACATGTATCTTACCCCAGAATCTGCAGCAAGGTACTCTTTGAAGATAATTTTGTCTTATAACCTATAAACCTATGTTTCACATAGGTTAATCGGTTTTGATAGACAATCCCAAGATATTCATAGTTTGATGCTTCATCATACTCAATTCAATGGCTAGTTTGGTTACATATAACAGATGTGTATTGAAATATAAAATTGATTTAATGGTTGTCAGTTTATGGGATTTCAAACTTAACCCTTAAACTGTCCAAACGTAGATCTACGTTTGCATCGCTAGAGTTTCGAACGTAGATCTACGTTTTATTTTACATGCTTTCAAATGTAAACAGAAACATGGATCTTCATTCTGAGTGCTAGCGTTGCAAACGTAGATCTACATTTGGACAGTTTAAGGGTTAATGGACACAATCTGAACATTAGATAAAGTCCATTTTTTTTTAGAATTGTCAGTTATTATGACAGACCTTTGGGTGAATTAGTTTTGGAAATTACAGAGAAAAACCATTGTTTCCAGAATTTGCTTGGCAAAATACTCATTATTCATATTTAATAAAATTTTGACTATTTTACTGAGTTAAGTATTTTTTCCTCACCTTCAGTATTTATAATATGTATAAGAATGGAGGAACACTGTAGCAGGCCTACTGACCCACACAAGATAAGGCTTTCTCAAACCCAAATCCTCTTAACAAAAATAGTATTTGTTCAACTCATTCTCAAGTCTGTCCATGAAAAAAGCTTTGATAATCCCTCTAACTCATGTTGTGCAAGTCACACTTGAATCCAACCCCTCTCATGTATTTATCCAACCTATATTTAAAGCTATCCAAAGTTTTAGCTACAGTAATTATAAGGGTTCATGAATTTTAGGAATTTTAAGTTATACAGGTGTCCCTCAACATTCGCGAGGGTTAGGGGATCAAGAGCCTCGCGAATGTTGAAAAACCGTGAATGTTTGGTGCCCTAATATATTGTAGGGAAATATTATACAATACTGCTTAACTTGTTGAACCATGAACAATCATAAAATACATGAAAACGTCATAAGTTGTACTAAATATATACATGTTATTCTTTAATAACATGTATGTTATTAACCCTTTGAGGGTTTTGGTCGTACTAGTACGTTTTACGCGTAGGGGTTTTTGACGTACTAGTACTCAGAAATTCTAGCGGCCTCAAATCTAGTGGGAGAAAGCTGGTAGGCCTTCATATGAAAGAATGGGTCTATGTGGTCAGTGTGCACAGTCTAAAAAAAATCCTGCAGCACACAGTGCATAATGAGAAAAAAAACTGACCATTTTTTTTTAATAAATCAGCGACTTTGCAGTGTATTTTCGTATGGTATTTATTGTTGTATTCTAGTTTTCTTGGTCTCATTTTATAGAATGGAAGACATATTACAGAAATTGAGATGATTTTGACTGGTTTTACAATGAAAGGTGCCTTGAAATTGAGCTCAAAGTAGCAGAAATGTTCGATTTTTACCAAACTTCAAAAGTAAACAAATCGTGCCTAGCGTGCAATACACGTCAACTGGTGAGTCTAATATTCTTTTACAAGTGCACCAATAATATTTATACCATTTTTTACACTAATGCAGTAGTCTGCATAACAGTAAATCTTATATTTTTTTGTGAGAATAAAAATTCAAAGTGGAAAGCAAAAGAATATAAGAGGGGCCTTGAGACGTGACTAATGACTAGAGGAAATGTCATTTTAGTGCCAGGAATGTCTTTCTTGTTTATTCTGGACCCTATTCGGAAATTGGCATCTTTTGAAATTTGTGTGAAATTGGCAAAATTGCTAAATTCTGACCACTGTACTGGATAGTTGAATTTATAAATGGGTGGTTTCTTGCACCCATTCGATAGAAAAAATGGAGTTCTAGCGAAATATTCATGTTTTTTGTCGACTAGTACAGTGATTTTGGCCGAAAATGGGGCTCAAAGTGGGCAAAATCGCCGATGCGTAAACATAGCCGAGACCGCTAACTTTGCGAGAGCATAATTCCGTAAGTTTTCTATCAAATTTCAAACTTTTGGTGTCTTTATGATCGGGAAAAGATTCTCTATCTTTTCATAAGAGAAAATAATTTTTTTTTTTTTTAAATTTGGCCGACCCTGAGAACGAGTTTCGGAGAGGGCCTGTCGACCCTCAAAGGGTTAAATACCACAGACTCCACCACTGCCTCCACCACTTCCTCAACCAATGCCAGTCCCTACTACCCTCCCTCCGACCCCTGCAACTGGCAGCCAGCCCTCCCACCACTCAGTGTGGTGAGTGTTTTGTTTGTTCATTATTTGCTATTAAACTACAGTATAAATAATGTAAAGACATTCATGACTGCATATTGGAATGGCTATTTGGACAGGTATTGGACGGTGACATCATGTGTTTACTCTTGAACATAGCAAAGAATCAAACATTTCTGCTACTGCTAATAATAACAATAGTAATAATAATAATAATAATAATAATAATAATAATAATAATAATAATAATAATAATAATAATACGATATAATTGAAGAAGGAAATTGTACAAAAATACGAGGGAGTGGTTGACACATCGTCAGTGTGGCTTTGTTTATGCTGGAGTGAACATTAGTCTCCCTGCTCTTCCAAACATTTCACAATAATTCAGCAGTTGAGGCAGTGGTAGAGGCAGTGATAGAGACAGTGATAGAGGCAGTGATAGAGGCAGTGGGTGAGGCAGTTGTATTTACTAACATATACGTATGTTATAAATAATAATAGTACATGTTAATATTAATAACATTTATAATAATAATAACAAATGTTATTCATAATGTACTATTATTATTTATAACATATATGTTAGGGGGTAAGGCAGCCGGGATTGATGGGATAAAGATAGAAATGTTAAAAGCAGGTGGGGATATAGTTTTGGAGTGGTTGGTGCAATTATTGGTGGCCCGGTGGCCTGGTGGCTAAAGCTCCCGCTTCACACACAGAGGGCCCGGGTTCGATTCCCGGCGGGTGGAAACATTTCGACACGTTTCCTTACACCTGTTGTCCTGTTCACCTAGCAGCAAATAGGTACCTGGGTGTTAGTCGACTGGTGTGGGTCGCATCCTGGGGGACAAGATTAAGGACCCCAATGGAAATAAGTTAGACAGTCCTCGATGACGCACTGACTTTCTTGGGTTATCCTGGGTGGCTAACCCTCCGGGGTTAAAAATCCGAACGAAATCTTATCTTATCTTATCTTATTTAATAAATGTATGGAAGAGGGTAAGGTACCTAGGGATTGGCAGAGAGCATGCATAGTTCCTTTGTATAAAGGCAAAGGGGATAAAAGAGAGTGCAAAAATTATAGGGGGATAAGTCTGTTGAGTATACCTGGTAAAGTGTATGGTAGAGTTATAATTGAAAGAATTAAGAGTAAGACGGAGAATAGGATAGCAGATGAACAAGGAGGCTTTAGGAAAGGTAGGGGGTGTGTGGACCAGGTGTTTACAGTGAAACATATAAGTGAACAGTATTTAGATAAGGCTAAAGAGGTCTTTGTGGCATTTATGGATTTGGAAAAGGCATATGACAGGGTGGATAGGGGGGCAATGTGGCAGATGTTGCAAGTGTATGGTGTAGGAGGTAGGTTACTGAAAGCAGTGAAGAGTTTTTACGAGGATAGTGAGGCTCAAGTTAGAGTATGTAGGAAAGAGGGAAATTTTTTCCCAGTAAAAGTAGGCCTTAGACAAGGATGTGTGATGTCACCGTGGTTGTTTAATATATTTATAGATGGGGTTGTAAGAGAAGTAAATGCGAGGGTCTTGGCAAGAGGCGTGGAGTTAAAAGATAAAGAATCACACACAAAGTGGGAGTTGTCACAGCTGCTCTTTGCTGATGACACTGTGCTCTTGGGAATTCTGAAGAGAAGTTGCAGAGATTGGTGGATGAATTTGGTAGGGTGTGCAAAAGAAGAAAATTAAAGGTGAATACAGGAAAGAGTAAGGTTATGAGGATAACAAAAAGATTAGGTGATGAAAGATTGGATATCAGATTGGAGGGAGAGAGTATGGAGGAGGTGAACGTATTCAGATATTTGGGAGTGGACGTGTCAGCGGATGGGTCTATGAAAGATGAGGTGAATCATAGAATTGATGAGGGAAAAAGAGTGAGTGGTGCACTTAGGAGTCTGTGGAGACAAAGAACTTTGTCCTTGGAGGCAAAGAGGGGAATGTATGAGAGTATAGTTTTACCAATGCTCTTATATGGGTGTGAAGCGTGGGTGATGAATGTTGCAGCGAGGAGAAGGCTGGAGGCAGTGGAGATGTCACATCTGAGGGCAATGTGTGGTGTGAATATAATGCAGAGAATTCGTAGTTTGGAAGTTAGGAGGAGGTGCGGGATTACCAAAACTGTTGTCCAGAGGGCTGAGGAAGGGTTGTTGAGGTGGTTCGGACATGTAGAGAGAATGGAGCGAAACAGAATGACTTCAAGAGTGTATCAGTCTGTAGTGGAAGGAAGGCGGGGTAGGGGTCGGCCTAGGAAAGGTTGGAGGGAGGGGGTAAAGGAGGTTTTGTGTGCGAGGGGCTTGGACTTCCAGCAGGCATGCGTGAGCGTGTTTGATAGGAGTGAATGGAGACAAATGGTTTTTAATACTTGACGTGCTGTTGGAGTGTGAGCAAAGTAACATTTATGAAGGGATTCAGGGAAACCGGCAGGCCGGACTTGAGTCCTGGAGATGGGAAGTACAGTGCCTGCACTCTGAAGGAGGGGTGTTAATGTTGCAGTTTAAAAACTGTAGTGTAAAGCACCCTTCTGGCAAGACAGTGATGGAGTGAATGATGGTGAAAGTTTTTCTTTTTCGGGCCACCCTGCCTTGGTGGGAATCGGCCAGTGTGATAATAAAAAAAAAAAAAAAAAAAAAAAATGTTAGTAAATATCACTGCCTCTATCGCTGCCTCTACCACTGCCTCTATCACTGCCTCTACCACTGCCTCTACCACTGCCTCTATCACTGCCTCTATCACTGCCTCTATCACTGCCTCTATCACTGCCTCTAACCACTGCCTCTACCACTGCCTCTATCACTGCCTCTACCACTGCCTCAACCACTCCAGTCACACTCAATCTACAAGCACCAAACAATGAATTATTGTGAAATGTTTGGAAGAGCAGGGAGACTAATGTTTACTCCAGCATAAACAAAGCCACACTGACGATGTGTCAACCACTCCCTCGTATTTTTGTACAATTTCCTTCTTCAATTATATCGTATTATTATTATTATTATTATTATTATTATTATAATTATTATTATTATTATTATTATTATTATTATTATTATTATTATTATTACTATTGTTATTATTAGCAGTAGCAGAAATGTTTGATTCTTTGCTGTGTTCAAGAGTAAACACATGATGTCACCGTCCAATACCTGTCCAAATAGCCATTCCAATATGCAGTCATGAATGTGTTTACATTATTTATACTGTAGTTTAATAGCAAATAATGAACAAACAAAACACTCACCACACTGAGTGGTGGGAGGGCTGGCTGCCAGTTGCGGGGGTCGGAGGGAGGGTAGTAGGGACTCGCAGGTGGCAGGAAACTTGAATATGATTTGGCAGCTGGGAATTTGGTGGCTGAGAATTTGGCGGTTGGGAATTCGCGAATGTGTGAAGCCCGCGAAAGCTGAAAACGTGAATGTTGAGGGAGACCTGTACTGTATGTGTGTTGATTAGAAGTCGATTAAATGAGCACTCATGAGATCCAGGTGTACTTGTATTAGTGATAATGGTGGAATTACTGACAAAATGTTAGGTAAACAGACACAGGTGCAACTATTGTGACATTTTATTGTGTCGAGCCCGCTTGACAAAGCCGACTTGGAGAGTGAAACGTTGCCGCAATAAAATGTCACATCATTTGCATCTGTGTCCATTTACGTAATGTAATTCATATTGTCAGTACTGTACAGTACAGTATAGTATATTAATTATATGTTCTTTAATATTGAGGTTAATGGAAATAATTTGTATCTCTTCCAGACTGCAGAGTGGCGGTGTGTCAAGTGTTTTCAGCGAGTACCGTGATTCTGCCAGTGGTTGGGTACTCAGTAATGTGAACATTGGTAGTGAATTCTCCATGCCAGCACGAACACTTAGTAGATTATACACAGATCAGCAAATACTTAAGGTAAATGCTGTGATATGCTACAGACCTAAGTAAATTTTGCATTATTTTTGCCGAGCATTAGTATTTAAATTATTCTTAAGGTGGTTATACCAAATTTTTGAGGCTTGGCATTGTAAATTGGCCACTAGAATTTGGTGCCTTATTTCTCAGTTAGTAGAGGAGGATACAGCCTCTTCCAGTCTTTGAATTGATTAACCCAAAAAGAGAGTTGGTCAGTGCAAAGTTAAAAATAATACAGTATATTATGTATTATTATTATTATAATCAAGGAGACCCGTAGGATTATACAGCGCCTGTGGGGGGGATGTGGTAGGTATTCAGGCTTAATTCAGGGAACTGGAGCACAGATCCAATTCCCTAGATCAAGAGCCCCTCACCAGCATCACCTTCCTTGAGGGGATAATACAGAATAAAAAGTAAAAATATTATCATCATCATCATCATCACCTGTGACATGGAAGAGCATTGAATAAAGAGGTTAAAGTTGCTCTTATAGATTAAAAATTCTAAGTTACTACAGTAGAGGAAAGCAGAGGTGTTCATATGGTGGAATAGTTTGACAGTCGATTTCTTGAAAAGTACAATGGATCTACGCACTTGAGATTCAACATTGATGTGTTATGAAGATGTCATTATTACCCTCCATGGTGAGCCAGGCTTACCTACAGCATTTGTTGCCTAGGTATGATTTTATTGAAAATTGTAGTTTCTCTGCAATTTTTAAGTGATATTTCATGAATTTCTCAATGGGGAAGTAGAGAAGAATCCTGAGGAATTTGAGTGAAAGCATGCTCAAATGGTTTCCAATGGTCATCAAGGCTAAGTGAGAAATGACAAAACATTAATGTAAGTACCAGGTGTTAGTTTTTGTTCTGTAATGTTAGGTTGTTTTTTAACAATATTTGTAATAATAAAGGGGAGGTCTGGATTACTTTTGCGGACACTTTACGTCCATCAGTTGAAATGGCTGTGTTGAGTTGGGCAACATTTAATCTATTCCAAACTAATGTGTTAGGAAACATTTTCCAGTTTTTTGACATGTAAAATACCTGTCCAATTGCCCAACATTGAGAAATTTGTAAGATGCATTAGTGAAAAGGTATACACATACTAAGTTGTGTCAAAAAGTTTGTGAAAGTTGTATTTTGATTGGTCACAGCAGTTTATCCATGGCTTGAAATTACCTTCAAACATTTTAACTGGTTATCATTGTTTTTCTTCATATGAGAAAGCAACCTCACTCTTAACAAATTGATTGTATAGATGTTGATTGATCATTTAGTTACTAAACAGAGAAGCAAAATGGTAAGCAGAATTCAAGCATGGTTGTGATTCTCTTGAGGATGATCTAAGGTGTGGCAAAACTGTCATCATGTGGAACACCTGCCCATCTTGAGACCTTAATATAAATGATTTCCACAGAGTTACATGATGGAGTTGCAGTAATTGGCATTCCCTGGGGTTTTATCATCCATGACCATTTGAGTTTGCCCAAGGTTTTTGAAAAATGGATGGCCCAGTACTTTCATTACTCAAGATTACACCAATAGCAAGAGTGTAGCTTTCATCTGATAATATTTATATTTAGCTCAATAATTAGGTATCTATTTACTGCTGGGCTCTTGAGATCAAGGTGTTGTCTCAGCATATATGGGTAAACTTTGGAAATCTAGCTCAGAAAGGTAGATCCACTAATACAAAAAATGTTTATCGAATATGGTGCTTAACTTACTTAATATTAGTGTATATATATTTTTCTGCCCTCAGACTGCTGCCTTCATAATGTACAATGATGAGTTTCCAAACGACACTGTGTCAGTTACACATGGTCACACAAAAGGCGTAGTAGTGATGACGGCCCAGGGAGGATTCTGGTTGGTTCATTCTGTGCCTAAATATCCCCCATCCCCAGAGGTTGGATATTCCTATCCTTCCTCGGCTCTTCATTATGGACAGACCATGTTGTGTATTAGCCTTCCCTCTGACGAGTCTCATAGCTTGGGTAAGCATTACCTTCAACAAAGCCACTTTCACTCTTCTCCATTGCATATTGTTTTTACATAAAAACCCTTTATCTATTTTTCACTAAGTTTAATTTAAGTTAAAGTGTTTCTTTCTTTTTTGGGTCACCTTGCTTTGGTGGGAGATGGCCGACATGTCAAAAAAAAAAAATTTTTAGTTTATCCAAATCTTTATTGTAAGGGTTATACAGTTATTTTTATTTTATGTTTCTCTGAAAATACAGTTATTTCTTTATCCTTTCTTGCAAAAATTTATATGTATGTATGTATACAATATTAGAAAAAATGGAGCAAGCATCAGTCCTTGTAGAACACTATTGGTAAGTCTGTGTCCACTTACATACGCTGTATATAAGTGAACAGTACTTAGATGCAGGTAAGGTAGTTTTTATTGCATTTATGAATTTAGAAAATGTGTATGATAGGAGAGCATTGTGGCAGAAGTTGCAAATGTAAATTACTAAAAGCAGTGAAAGAGTTTTTTATGAGTATAGTGAGATTTAGGTTACGGTTGGAAGATAAGACAGAAAGATTATTTTCCAATAAAAATAGGCCTTGGATAGGGATGTGTAATGTTACCATGTTTGTTTAACACATTTATAGACTTTTTTTTTGTTTTCAACAAGTCGGCAGTCTCCCACCGAGGCAGGGTGACCCAAAAAGAAAGAAAATCTCCAAAAATAAAATACTTTCATTATCATTCAATGAGATTGTAAAATTGAATTTAGGGTGTTGGGGAGAGAGGTGTGGGATTGAAAGATACAAAGTGAGAGTTGTCACAATTGCTGTTTACTGATGAGACTATTCTTTTGGGAGATTCTAAAGAGAAGTTGCAAAGGTTGGTGCAGGAATTTGGGAGGGTATGCAAAAGAAGAAAATTAAAAGTGAACATGGGAAAGAGCATGTGATGAGAGTAGCAAAAAAAAAAAAATCTAAGGAATGAAAGACTGAATATTAGATGGCAGGGAGGGAGTATGGATGAAGTGTATGTGTTCAAATATTTTGGAGTAAACTTGTCAACGGGTGGTGTATGAAAAATGAGGTGGACCATATAATTGACGAATGAAAAAAAAAAAAAGGTGGGTTGTTCAATAAAGAATTTGTGGAGAAAAAGAATTTCATTTATGGAAGTAAAATGGGGGAATGTACCAGAGTATAATGATACCAACACTGTTATATGGGTGTGAAACATTGGTTTTAAACATAGTGAGGAGGAGGAGGCTAGGGGCAGTGGAGTATGTGTCTGTGGACATTGTGTGGTGTGAATGATATGCAAAGAATTCAGAGCTGGGGGATTAGAAGGTGCAGAGCTACCAAAAGTATTATTGAGAGGGCTGAGGAGAGGATTTTGAGATGGTTTGGACATTTAGAGAGGATGGAGCAAAGTAGGATGATTAGGAAGGTGTATAAATGTGGAGTGGAGGGAAGGATGAGTAGGGGTCATCCCAGAAAGGTTGGAGGAATCAGACAAGAGATAAGTTGTACAAAAACTCTTATGTATTAATTTAGGTATCATGTGCAGAAAATTGTTTGTTTATATGTTATGACTGTTACTAAAACAAATTTAATATTAGAAAATAACTTTTTGGACATTCTGTGTATTTTTTGCAAAGAATGTATTGTATAAGAGGGAGGTGAAAGTGTATAAACTAAGGGAGGAGGAAGTTCGGGAGAGATATAAGCGACTATTGGCAGAAAGGTGGGCTAGTGCAAAGATGAGTAGTGGGGGGGTTGAAGAGGGTTGGAATAGTTTTAAAAATGCAGTATTGGAATGTGGGGCAGAAGTTAGTGGTTATAGGAGGGTGGGGGCGGGAGGAAGGAGGAAGGAGAGTGATTGGGGGAATGATGAAGTAAAGGTTATGATAAAGAGAAAAAGGTAGCTTATGAGAGGTTTTTACAAAGCAAAAGGTTATAAGAAGAGCAGAGTATAGGGAGAGTAAAAGAAAGGTAAAGAGAGTGGGGGAGAGAGTGCAAAGGAGAGCAGATGAAAGAGTGGGAGAGGCAACTGTCAAGAAATTTTAATGAAAAAAAAGAAAAAATTTTGGAGTGAGTTAAAACAAGTTAAAAAAGCCTAGGGGAAAGTATGGATTTGTCAGTTAAAAACAGAGTAGGGGAGTTAGTAGATGGGGAGAGGGAGGTATTAGGTAGAGGGGCGAGAATATTTTGAGGAACTTTTAAAAATGTTAAGGAAGAAAGGGAGGCGGTAATTTCATGCACTGGCCAGGGAGGTATACCATCTTTTGGGGAGTGAAGAAGGCAGAATGTAAGTGTGGTGGGGGTTTCGTGAGGCATTACGTAGAATGAAAGGGGGTTTAAAGCAGCTGGAACTGATGGGATCAGGACAGAAATGTTAAAAGCAGGGGGGGATATAGTGTTGGAGTGGTTGGTACTTTTGTTTAATAAATGTATGAAAGAGGGGAAGGTACCCAGGGATGGCGGAGAGATGTATAGTCCCTTTATATAAAGGGAAAGGGGACAAAAGAGATTTTTAAAAAATTTTAGAGGAATAAGTTTACTGAGTATACCAGGAAAAGTATACGGTAGGGTTATAATTGAAAGAATTAGAGGTAAGACAGAAAGTAGAAATTGCGGACGAGCAAGGAGGCTTCAGAGTGGGTAGGGGATGTGTAGATCAAGTGTTTACATTGAAGCATATATGTGAACAGTATTTAGATAAAGGTAGGGAAGTTTTTATTGCATTTATGGATTTAGAAAAGGCATATGATAGAGTGGATAGAGGAGCAATGTGGCAGTGTTGCAAGTATATGGAAAGGTGGTAAGTTACTAAATGCTGTTTAAAAAGTTTTATGAGGATAGTGAGGCTCAGGTTAAGTGTGTAGAAGAGAGGGAGAATACTTCCGGTTTAAAAAAAAGGTCTTAGACAGGGATGTGTAATGTCACCATGGTTGTTTAAAATATTTATAGATGGGGTTGTAAAAGAAGTAAATGCTAGGGTGTTCGGGAGAGGGGGTGGGATTAAATTATGGGGAATCAAATTCAAAAAAGGGAATTGACACAGTTACTTTTTGCTGATGATACTGTGCTTATGGGAGATTCTAAAGAAAAATTGAAAAGGTTAGTGGATGAGTTTGAGAATGTGTGTAAAGGTAGAAAGTTGAAAGTGAACATAGAAAAAGAGTAAGGTGATGAGGGTATCAAATGATTTTGATAAAGAAAAATTGGATATCAAATTGGGGAGGGGAGTATGGAAGAAGTGAATGTTTTTAGATATTAGGAGTTGACGTGTCGGCGGATGGATTTATGAAGGATGAGGTTAATCATAGAATTGATGAGGGAAAAAGGTGAGTGGATGCGTTGAGGTATATGTGGAGTCAAAAAACGTTATCTATGGAGGCAAAGAAGGGAATGTAAGAAAGTATAGTAGTCCAACACTCTTATATGGATGTGAAGCTTGGGTGGTAAATGCAGCAGCGAGGAGACGGTTGGAGGCAGTGGAGATGTCCTGTCTAAGGGGAATGTGTGGTGTAAATATTATGCAGAAAATTCGGGAGTGGAAATTAGGAGAAGGTGTGGAGTTAATAAAAGCATTAGTCAGAGGGCAGAAGAGGGGTTGTTGAGGTGGTTTGGTCATTTAGAGGAAAGGATCAAAGTAGAATGAATGGAAAGCATATAAAAACTATAGGGAAGGAAAAGAGGGGTAGGGGTGTCCTCGAAAGGGTTGGGGAAAAAGGGGGTTTTAAAGGGGTTTTGTGGGTGAGGGGCTTGGACTTCCAGCAAGCATGCATGAGCGTGTTAGATAGGAGTGAATGGAGACAAATGATACTTGGGACCTGACGATCTGTTGGAGTGTGAGCAGGGTAATATTTAGTGAAGGGATTCAGGGAAACCGGTTATTTTCATATAGTCGGACTTGAGTCCTGGAAATGGGAAGTACAATGCCTGCACTTTAAAGGAAGGGTTTGGGATATTGGCAGTTTGGAGGGATATGTTGTGTATCTCTATACGTATATGCTTCTAAGCTGTTGTATTCTGAGCACCTCTGCAAAAGCAGTGATAATGTGTGAGTGTGGTGAAAGTGTTGAATGATGATGAAAGTATTTTCTTTTTGGGGATTTTCTTTCTTTTTTTTTGGGTCACCCTGCCTCGGTGGGAGACGACCGACTTGTTGAAAAAAAAAAAAAAAAAAAAAAAATGAAAATCTTAAATATAGAGTAGCAGCCCTAGTAATTTATCTAAAAAAATTGTTGTAATTTTTTCTTTTCTCTTTTGTCAAGGGTGGCAGTTGCTCCAGAATGATCCATATGTATATGCTTCCAATATGCCTGAGACGCTTTCTTCTCAGTTTTTTGTCTTACTGAAAGTGATACAAGGGGAGAGGCCAGAAGTTTCTCCCTGGTATCGTATTGCAACGCTAACTTCTGTCAGTGGCAAGGTCTTCACCTCCTTTGCAAAATACAAGAAATATGATCAAGGTATTTATAAAGTTTTATTGGCCGGTTTGGAATATTTGCAAGTGGGGATTATGAGGAAAAGGAAGAAAAATAGGTGTAGAAAGCACTTAAGAGTATGGAAAGTTGGTAGCTATTAAATGGAGAATGTGTAGATTGAGAATTAAATACAGTAGGGCCCTTGTATCTGTGGGGGATACATTTCGTGGACCTGCCGTGGATAGCAAAACAACAGTAGCAGACTTTATACATACCTATTATAAAGTTTGTTTTTGATAAATTATGCACAATAAGTGGAGAATTATCACTTTTTCACTGAAGGAAATAACTTCACGGCTTTTCTTAGGCCAGTTTCTCTACTCTTGTGCTTTGGGGCCATTATTATGCAAAATTAAGAGGTATTTTTGGGCCACAGTAAACTGTGGATAACTGAAACCATAGATACCAAATTGGTGGATATGGCGGTTCTACTGTACTGACTCAAAATTGTAATAACGTGATTACAAACAAAATGCAGAATGGGTGGAGTTTGAACCTGTGGTGAGTGTGTTAACCACTCAACCAGCTGGCTTTAATAAGGTATTGTTTCCATGGATGATTTGAGGCCAACTGCTCTACAGTCTGCAAAAAAAAAAAAAAACTTTGGCATGCAACACCAATAAAAAAGGTTTCTCTGATCATTTAGTGATCAGGAAGGATTCATAATATACTGAAAGCAAAAGGCCAGATGACCAGACATTGATGTTTTGTATTTTCTAAGTTCCCTAATATACTTAAATTTGTACTTAAATTTTATTCATTCATTTTCAAACTTTTTTGGTAGCACACTTTTTTGCAGAGATTATACAGCTTATGAACACTTTGATTTAAAATTGCTATGATTATTTAACTCTCTTTTGTAATTTCAGTTGCAATTGTGGTTATGGAAATAAGATAAAATTATAATTGCAGTAAACTTCTGCAATACATTTTTGTTCAGAGATGGAAAAATTTTATATAATTTGTAACTTTTTGGCTTGAATTTGTATAGAAAATAAATGCCTATAAGACTGAAAAAATATAAACATTGTTTTAGATTAAAGGCTAAAGAAAAGCTCTTAAAGAGAATTAGGGAAGTCTTCAAGGTGATTTGGTACTGTATTTTAGACGTCTGATTTTTTTGCAGATTTATACACCAGCCTAGTGGCTCCAATGTTGGAGACAAATATCGTGGTAGAGAGCTGGAGAAATGGACCTCAGCCCCTACCATCTTCGTGTAACACAACATACACGTCTGTACTATTTGTGCTTGTGTTTGCATATACAGTAAATTGATTACATACCTCAAAGATTTGCAATCAGTCTCCCTTCAAGGGTATATGGAGGAGGGGGCTTGATACTGGTGAAAGGCTCTTATTCTAAGAGATTGGAGCTACTTTCCCTATAATGAACTGTTGATCGTTTCCCCATTCTCTGTACACTGGATGAACCATACACAAATAACTCGTGCACGGGAGAAACTTGTGATGACGTTTCAGTCTGTCTTGAGCTATTAACTAGTCACACACTGTGATTAGTCATCACGAGTTTCTTTCTCCTGTGTGCGAATTATTTGTGTTCTAGTCAGGGTATTGTGCTTTTTTGTTCTTACGGAATGAGCCATATAGGTTTAGCAGTTCCTCAAGAATAGAACAAAGGAGTCAGTAAAAAGTGTTTTGATAAGTTACTGAGTTCATTGCAGCACGATGTCTAAAGTTAGTATTTGTTTTCCTTCTGTAGGATGGTGTACAGCCTCTCCTCGTACGTACTCGTTTACCAACTACTTGGACTTACGATACACTCTCTGACCAGTATACGTACCTATATAATGTATATTAGAGCTGATTTCTTCTATTCTGTTTATTACAATATACAGTACACTGCTGTATAAACATTTAAAAATATACTAAAAATGTTATAAATGGTGCAGAGGTGACATTAAAACAATATCAAAGATGGTTGACACAAACCCACTACCATTATAGTATTCTTCTTGTTTAGCAATGAATTCGTTTACCGACGTGGTCTTAGGAACGGAACTCCATTGTTAGATGAGGAGAGGCTGTATTCCTATTCCTTGATGCAAGCATTAGGAAAACATTTTTCTTAGGGGAATTGAAAAGTAGTATTTTAAATGGTCTTAAAGACAATAGGGGAGTTACTAGCATGAAAATGGAAATGTCAGAATAGTGTGAAAACTTATACCAATAAGAAAGAATTATGAAGTACAGGTGCCCCGCTTTACATCATTTTGTTAATGCAGCGGTTTTCAGTTATACCCATTCTTCATTTATTTAGAGTTCCTGCAATAATTATATTCACTCACTATAGGCTAAGAATGAAAATGTTTTAAAGTAAGTAATGTGTGTACTCTCTATGCATTTTTTAGGCTTAGCTGTAAATAGTATATTAACATTTGAAAGTGAAAAAAGGCTATGATTCACTGTACATGATTTTCTCTTTATAGCAGTAGCCTGGAACTTACGTAACCTGCTGTATAAGCAGGGCCCATTTGTATACAGGAGGGCCCCACTTTACAGCACTTTCTTTTACAGCATTTTACTAATACAGTGGTCTTTAATTATATCCATTCTTCACATATTCACACTTCCTATAATAAACATATTTTCCACTCGGTATAAGCTAAGTACAGAAATATTTTAAGGTAAATAATGTGTGTACTGTATATGCATTTTTGAGTCCTAGCACTATTGCTCACTTAACCCTTTCACTGTCCAGACCCCCAATCTGAAACTTGTCCACAGTGTCCAAGAATTTTAAATAAAAATTTTTATTTTTTTTTTAAAGAAATGGTAGAGATTCTTTTTCTGAAGGTAATAAAACAGAAAAATACAAAATTTGATGAAAAAATGACGAAATTACACTTTTGCGAATTTTGCTATATCAGCGATGTTGAGGACTCATTGGGAGATTTTGCCCACTTTGAGTCCTATTTTAGGCCAATTACATTGTTCCAGTTGACCAAATTCTTAGCTATTTCACTAATATGTCTTCCATTTTATTGACTGAGGTCAAGAAATCACCCAGTCAACTATTTCAACTACCCAATCAAGTGATGAGAAATTGGTAATTTGGCCAATTCACACAAATTTCAAAATACAGCCTCTCCTCACTTAGTGACGTACTCATTTGGAAATAAATGGTATAAAATACCGACACAATGGAAATATAAACACATATGCAGCATAATGTGATCCTTTATTGACTACGTTTCGCCCACACAGTGGGTTTTTTCAAGTCACAAACAGAACTACCTGGGGTGGAAGGAACGCGAGTATATATAGTCAGGTTCAGAATGCTGACCTCAGCATTCTGAACCTGACTATATATACTCGCGTTCCTTCCACCCCAGGTAGTTCTGTTTGTGACTTGAAAAAGCCCACTGTGTGGGCGAAACGTAGTCAATAAAGGATCACATTATACTGCATATGTGTTTATATTTCCACGTACTCATTTACTGACGACTTGGACTTACAATGGGCTCTCTGACCAGTATACAAACCTAAATAATGTATATTTCCTTTATTTGGTGTATTACAGTATACAACACACTACTGTATAAACATTTAAAAATACACCAGAAATGTTATAAATGTTGAAGGTTCTTTCACGTTTAACAGATTTACTTTTAAACGATGAAGAAAGGGAGGCAGTAATTTCATGCACTGGACAGGGAGGTATAACATCTTTTAGGAGTGATGAACAGCAGAATGTGAGTGTAGGGGAGGTACACGAGGCCAGAAGTGACATTAAAACAATATCAGTATCAAGGATGGTTGACACAAACCCACTACCATTATAGTATGCTCCTCACTTAGTGACGAATTCATTTACTGACGTGGTCTTAGGAACGAAACCCCGTCGTTAAGTGAAGAGAGGCTCTATTCCATTTTCAAAATAGGGTTTAGAATAAACATTGCAGGCAGTCTTGGCACTAAAATAACATTTCCTCTGTTCATTAGTTATGTTTCCAGGCTTTACACACGAATTCCGTTTTGTTATTTTATTCATACAAAAAATAGAAGATTTAGTGTTATGCAATATTGTAATAATTGTGTAAATAATATCAGCATATTTGTGAGTGCATATTAGACTCACCAGGTGACATGTATTGGATGAGTGATGTGATTTGTTCACTCTTGAACATTGGCAAAAATTGAATATTTCTGTTACTTTGAACTCAATTTCAAGCTATTTTCAATCCTGAAACCAGTCAAAATCATCTCTATTTCTGTATTATATCTTCCATTCTATCAATTGAGACCAAGAAACTGAGAATACAACCATAAAAACCATATGAAAATACATTGCAAAGTTGCCGTTTTAAACCAAAAACAGTTGCAGGATATTTATCACATAGATCCATTCTCTCGTATCTAGGCCCAGATTTACCAGTTACAGTTTATCTGAGTGAGCTGAGCTCATGGCATAGTACTACGGCACTGACAAGTGACCTCAAACCCATAGTACTATGGCATAGTCAGTGAAAGGGTTAATATATGACAGTGTAAACATGTTATCACTTTACAGCAGTAGCCCCTAGAATGTAAGCTGCTGTATCAGTAGCACTCTCCTGTACTTACAAATTTTTGGGGTAAAGAAGTTCAAATATTTGTAGGAAGATTACAAGATAAATTCTATTTTTAATGCATTGAATGTTCAGATTTTAAGCTAATAAGATATTATACTCAACAGCTTACTAGAATTATACATTTTACTATAACATAATGGTCTTTCTTTACATACTGTCACAGCGTGGAAAATGTGGAGAGCGTATCGGCACGGGCAGCATCTACCAGCTTCACCACCTCACATGATCACAGCAAATGGGTAGTGACCTCGGAGCCTGATAAACCCTATGTTTGCATTGGTGACATTAATAGAATGGTATGTATTGAAAATATTTATGATCTATTTTTACTCAACTGAAGTACAGTAATGGTTCTTGTATCTGACCCTTCTATGGGCCTAGGAGGAGACAGGATGATAATACAGAGTAATATTTAGTGAAGGGATTCAGGGAAATTAGTTAGCTGGACTTGAGTCCTGGAGGAGGGAAGTACAGTACCTGCACTCTAAAGGAGGGGTTTAGAATATTTGCTGTTTAGAGAGGCATCTAAACTGTTGTATCTGTGTGCCTCTGGCAAGACAGTGATAGTGTGAATGATGGTAAAAGTGTTTCTTTTACGGGTCACCCTGCCTTGGTGGGACACAACCAACATGTTAAAAAAAAAAAAAATTGGATGAAGCACATTATCTATGTGATGGACTTACATATTGAAACAGTTAATTTGTTATTTTTGTGGATGAATAAGAGGGCTACCTGTATTTGTCACCCTCTCTTCAGCATTCTATGTTTTTATTGGCTTTCAATTGAGCCATTGCTTGTTACATTTGGTACTTTTATTGCTTTTCTGAGATTTTCGCAGAACATTTGTGTAAAGGTAGGGCAACCAGTACCGTATCTTAAGGTTATTATTGTATGTATTTTTCAGGTAAGTGTTGTATGTACTTTTGTATGTTTTCTTATGCCTGCATGTATTGAGCACTTAATATATAACAGTGTAAAAATGTTATCAGGTGTTTTAGATAATGAAAACCGCTTTTTTTTTCACTCGGCGGTGATTTTTTGTTTACCGCATGGGGGTCGAGAACCTAAGAGCCATACTACAAACAGGGCCCTAACGTAATTGAGTGACAAGTTGAATGTAACTAATAGGGAGCATTGAAATTTTGGTCAAAGCTGCACTCTTCAGGCATTGTTCCTTATATACACGTCTCAGATTCAGTGCCAAATATGAAATTGATTGGTTGAGGTTTAGCCTACAGCATTTGTGATTGAAATTTTTGAATACAGTGGAACCTTGACTTATGAGTTTAATCCGTTCCGTGACCTAGCTCATAACTCAATTTGCTCGTATGTCAAATCAGTTTATCTCATTTCAGTTAATTGAAATGCCATTAATCCCTCCCAGCAGCAGGACAAAATACAGTGGACCCTCAACCAGCGATTTAAAATCCGTTCCTGAGAGCTCATCCTTAGTCAAAATAATCGTTAGTCAAGTTAATTTTCCCCATAAGAAATAATGGAAATCAAATTAATCCGTGCAAGACACCCAAAAGTGTTGAAAAAAAAATTTTTTTACCACATGAAATATTAATTTTAAACACAAATGAAGATTACATGCACAGTTCTGACACTTACCTTTTTTGAAAATTGGTGATGATTGATGGGATGGGGGGGAGGGGGGGAGAGCGTTTTCTTCTTACTGTTAGAAGGGGAAACCCCTTCCATTTTCCTTGAGCAGCAAGTCTTTTTCTGGGTTCTTCCCTTTCTTTTAATGCCACTGGACCAGCTTGAGAGTACTGGATTCTGTCGCACAAATATCTGTCCATAGAGGCCTGTACCCCTCGTTTCCTTTTTACTTTCCTAAAATGGTTTACAACATTGTCAGTGTACGGTTTCCAACACGGCTTGCAGTAGCTGTGTCAGGGTGATTATCATCCATAAAGCTTTGCACTTTAAGCCACATTGCACAGATTTCCTTAATCTTAGAAGTAGGCAACTTCTTCAATTTCTCTCTCCCCTCCTCCGAAGCAGTTTCCTCAGGTCTGGCCTCTTGCTGTTCAAGATGATATAGCAGCTCATCAGTGGTTAGTTCTTCACTGTCCTCCACCACCAACTCTTCCACATCCTCCCCACTAACCTCCAACCCCAAGGACTTCCCCAGTGCCACAATGGATTCCTCAGCTGGCATAGGATTCTCAGGGTTAGCCTCAAACCCTTCAAAATCCCTTTTGTCTATACATTCTGGCCACAGTTTTTTCCAAGCAGAGTTCAATGTCCTCTTAGTCACTTCCTCCCAAGCCTTACCTATAATGTTTACACAATTGAGGATGGTAAAATGATCTTTCCAAAACTCTCTTAGAGTCAGTTGAGTTTCTGAGGTCACTACAAAGCACCTTTCAAACATAGCTTTTGTGTACAGTTTCTTGAAGTTGGAAATAACCTGCTGGTCCATGGGCTGCAGGAGAGGAGTGGTTATTAGGAGGCAAAAACTTCACCTTAATGAAGCTCATGTCCCTAGAAAGTCGCTCTGCCACATCTGTAGGATGACCAGGGGCATTGTCTAATACCAGGAGGCCTTGGTCAAAATTTTTTTAAATTAGGAAATTTTTTCACATGGGGGGGAAAAATTTTCAGGGTGAAAACTAGTCATAGAAAAAGCCCTAGTGACCATGCCTTACTTTTTGCCCTCCCAGCAACACAAATTGCCTTGGGGTTTATTTTTTTTTCCTAAACCCTTTGGGGGTTTCAGAGTGAACACCAAAAAAGGCTTCACTTTGAAATCACCACTAGCATTGGCCACATCAACAGAGTAACCTGCTTTCTAGGCTTATGCCTGGGTCCCTTTTTCCTCTTGATAATGTACGTCCTGTTTGGGCATTTTCTTCCAAAACGGGCCCTGTTTCTCACAATTAAACCTTGTTCAGGTTTCAGTCCTTCACTGTCTATTACTCCTTGAAGCCTACTTTTTTTCAGTGATTTGGGTCCAATGGCAGCCCACCATCCTTATCCACTTGAATCCCACTACGCTTCTTAAATCTCTAAAACCCAAACCCCTTTGCTGGCCTTTAAAAATTCACCAATCATATTGCTGGCATTTTTTTAAATTAAATGTCAGCAACTTCCTACCCTTTTTTCACAATATCGCTTAAAGAGATGCTGTCTCCGCATTTTTTTCTCGTTTTCCACACAAAACAGTCTCTAAAATCTTCGATACTTGCATTCATTTTTCAAAAAAACATAGTTGCAGTGGAAGGAAGGGGGGGTAGGGGTGGTAGGAAGGGTTGGAGGGGGGGTAAAGGAGGTTTTGTGTGGGGGGGTTGGGACTTCCCGGCAGCGTGAGCGTTTTTGATAGGATGAATGGAAAAAAAGGGTTTTTTTTAATATTGACGTGTGTTGGAGTGTGAGCAAAGAAAATTTTATGAAGGGATTCGGGGAAACCCGGCAGGCGGACTTGAGCCCTGGAGATGGAAGTACAGTCCCCTGCCTCTGAAAGGAGGGGTGTTTTTTTGCGTTTAAAAAAACTGTGGTAAAGCACCCTTTGGAAGACAGTGAGGGTGAAAGAGGTGAAAGTTTTTCTTTTTGGGCCACCCTCCCTTTGGGGGGAAACGGCCCGGGGTGATAATTAAAAAAAAAAAAAGTTGCACCTTTGGCAAAAACAGTTCCTTTATTTTCCGTTTCTTGCCCCAATAGTAGCTGGTTTTTGGGTTTATTATACAACCCGACCCGCTAAAGATATGCACTCCCTTTCATATTTATAAGTCTCTTTCTTCTCTCCATAGAATTTCACCCTTTTTGCTGTAGGGGTTTGGGACTAGAACTTTCTTGGGGCCCCTGGTGACTTTATTTTTTCAGGGGTCAATCATAAAAAGGCTGTGTAATATGAAAAGTTCCATTGTATGTTTGGAAGTGAGGGTGGGTGGCTGGCTTGTAAACACTGGCACCCAAAGGGGCAATTTAGGCGCGCTCGGCCCCAAAATGGGGCGTATGGACGGGGAAAGAAACGTGGTCGGGTTTTTTAATATAGAAAACCTATATTAATATAGCAACTCTATGGTTATTTTTCAATCACAATTTATTAATATGACCAATAAACAGTAAATTAAAGAGAAACTGATACAACTTTAGAATTATAAAATGGCCCTAAGTAAGATAAGTTTCGTTGGGATTTTTAACCCCGGAGGGTTAGCCACCCAGGATAACCCAAGAAAGTCAGTGTGCCATCAGGGCTGTCTGTTTTTTTCCATTGGGGTCCTAAACTTGTCCCCCAGGGTGGACCCCACCAAACGACTAACACCCCGGTACCTATTTGCTGCTAGGTGAAAGGAAAACAGGTTTTTAAAGGGAAATACGTTGAAATGTTTCCGCCCTGCCAGGATTCGAACCCGGGCCCTCCGTGTGTGAAGCAAGAGCTTTAGCTACTAGGCCAACTTGTTTTGTTTGATTGCTGAAGTTAACTGACACAATTTGCTTTATTTCCATGGAAATCCTCTTTTTCTTCTCAGCACTGTTTTTTGCACTTATTTTTTTAGGACCATGGGTTAAAAAAAAAAGAAATTTGGGGAATGACTTCAAAAAAATGCAAGCAAGCACAAGAGAAATGCTCCCATGGTGATGTAAACATGTGGACTCCTTACCGGATGTTTTGCCATCGGCTGCGCCAACCAGTGGCAGCATTCTGAATTATTATTATGTATTATGTTTTTATTATTATTTTTTATTATATTATTATTATTATTACATATTATTATAATTATTAATTTAGGGAACTGAAGCTCACTCATTATTATTATTATTTTACATTATTATTTTTTTATTTTATTTTCGGGGAACCTCGGCTTAAAAAATTTTGTCTGTTCCGTGCCCTTTGTTCGTTCCTGTTTGTTCGTTTGTGAGTCAATTTTCTCATTTAAATTAATTGAAATGAAATTAATCTTTTCCCCAAGCCTCTCAGGAGGCATGAGAAAAAAATGCAATTCAACCTAGGGCTTATTCTTCTTTCTTTAACACACCGGCCTTTCCCACCAAGGCGGGGGGGCCCCAAAAAGGAAAAAAATGAAAGTTTCTTTTTTTAATTTAGAATATACTGTATACGGGAAAGGGTTCTAGTCCCTTGCTCCCGCCATTTTGAAAATAAAAAAACCCAGAGGGGTGTGTATATATATGCTTGTACTGTAATGGTAGAGTTGGGTAACCCCAACCACCCGGGGAAAAGACTACGCCCTGCCAGATGACTTAAAAAAAAACCCCTGAAATTTTTTTTGCATGAGGTAGGATTTGGTTTTTTTTTCGTCTCAAAAACACGCTAAGAAACAGGGAT